TTCTTGAATTTCTCGAACTTATCAATCTTCACTAACTTAAAAATTTTCGATAGCATTGCCTATGCCTTCGTTGGGAAAATATCACTCATTCTTCCACTGGGGACAGGTGCACAAATGACAACTCCAAATGCCACCTACCTAACATTTAGGTGATGAGTCTAAATAATAGTGTTTACAAAATCTAGATATCAACAAAATTTACAGTTTCTCGAGATGTGTTTAACGAAAATGCGACTTGTGATTGGAAGGGCAATCAAGTCAGATTCTGGACCATATCAGTTTGATGATCCATCAACATCTCAAATTTTTGACATTGAGCAACATTTAGCTCCAAATATTCCAACAATTGAAGAAGGACAAGAAACCCCTCCAAAAAAGACACGTTCACTAAGAGAAATCTATGAATTACATGAACTCGGATTATTCTCTTGTGAGCCTCATCTTTTGAAGAAGTTTTAAAAGATAAAGTTAGACAAAGACAGTGAATGAACAAATTTAGACTATCGAGAAAAGCAAAACTTGAGCTCGTAGACTTACCAAAAGAAAAGAAGACCATTGGTCTTAAATGGGTATACAAAATAAAATACAACCAAGACAAGTCAATTCAAAAATATAAAGTACGAATTGTCGCCAAAGGATATCTCAACAGCCAGAAATTGATTTCACATAAACATTCATTCCAATTGTAAGAATAGAGACGATCCATACAGTTATGGCTTTAGCGCCACAATTCGAGTTCAATGTTTTCCAGCTTGACGTAAAATCAGCATTTCTAAACGTCTAAGTACAGAAGAAGTATATGTCGAGTAACCTGAAGGTTTTGTAGTCAAAGAAAAAGAAGATAAAGTTTATCATCTTCAAAAGGCATTATATAGCTTCAAACAAGTACCTTGAGCATGGAATAGCAAAATCAACAGCTATTTTCTTCAAAATGGTTTCAAGCAAAGCACAAGTGAATCATCCCTCTATGACCATATAGATAGTGATTGGTAGGATTGGTTGATGATCGGAAGAGCACTTCTAGATATGCCTTTTGCCTTGGATAAAATGTGATTTCCTTGAGCTCAATAAAACAGAAATTTGTTACTTTTCGTCGATAGAAATAGAGTACATCGTCGCTATAGATTTAGCTTGTGAAGCAGTTTGGCTTAGAAGAATTTTGAAACATTTAAAATTTGAGCAGAAATGACCACAACAATTTATTGCGACAAATGAACAATTGCAATGTCAAAAAAAATCAATTTTCCGTGCTAGTTCAAAGCATATTGAATTTTGACATCACTTTATAAAAGATCTGGTAAATCAAGAAGAAATTTGCATGAAATTTATAACTACCAACGATCAACCGATTGAGGTAAGTTGACAAAATCAGTGACGATTGATAAGTTCGAGAAATTCAAGAATCGGTTGAAGATTACAAATTAAGAGAGGGTGGAGTGTTAAAAGTTCTAAATTAGTTTGTAATCTTCAAAGAATTTAAATCCAATTAGAACTCTTCAATAAATTTGAAACATTCAAAGAAATGTGAAATGGATAAGATTTACAATTCAATTTATATATTGAAGTTGAATATTCAAAGATGTAAGCTAGAACTTTGAAAAACAACTACAGCTTTGAATATTTTGGAGAACACATATAGCTGTAAATAAAGATGCAGATAGCACCAAATGAAGATAAAATACAGTTATCTTATTCTAATGGTAGAAAATTCTTAGTCTCCATTTTCTCTATAAAAGGAAGGGATGCATTAGTGTTGATAAGATAGGAGAAATGTAAGAAAATCTTCGTAAAAAAAGAAAAAAGAGAGAGAATTGAGTGTGATGTAGCAACTCACTCGTAAAACTCTCAAATTTCATAATTAAAATCTCCCATTTTTCATAAACTCTTTCTTTCAACACCCAACAAATTTGGTATTAGAGAATAGGAAGAAAATAAAAATCATATCCAATCAAAGACAAAACAAAATCAACACTAGAGCCTCCATGGGCATGGCGCAGTGGTAAATTAGGAAGATTCTTTATGGAGGTTCAAATTTCTAAAGCAACTGGAAAGCAACATTTATGTTGGAAAGTAGATGTCATGCGGAGACAAATTCATGGTGTGCCTTGTCACCCCTTCGGGGTCCATTTGCACGTCATAAGGGGGGTCCATAGTGATGAGAACCACTTTTCGAATATTTGGCCCAAATGTGTATAAGTTGTGATCGCATTCAATTTACTCGAATAGCAAACCAAGGGAAAAGGTCAACACTCCTCAGAATTAGTCAAACGAAGTTCAGATACGTGAGTCATAAATAATAATAATAATAATAATAATAATAATAATAATAATAATAATAATAATAATAATCAACACTAGAGACATGCCTTCCTTCTATAGAAAAAATGGACTAATCTAGTTCTAAGAATTTTCTACCATTACAACAAGATAATAGCCGTATTCTATTCTCATTTGCAACTGTGTTCTTTATTTGTAGCTCCATAATGTTTAAGGCTATAGCCTGGAGCTGATTTTCAAAGTTCTAGCTTGCATCTTTAATTATTCAACTTGAATATATAAATTGAATTGTAAATTTTATCCATTTGACCTTTCTTTGTGTCTTCCTAAGTTGTTGAAGTATTCTAATTGAATTTGAATTCTTTGAAGATTATAAATTAATTTAAAACTTTTAACATATACAACATAATTCATCAAAAAACTTCCAAATATAGATTCACGGGTGTATTTGTGTAACTTTGACAGGGGGCAATGTTATTTATACAATAATGATCGTGGTAGTGTGTCACATGATTCTTGGGAGGCCTGTATAATTGATATTCCCATTGTTTATCCAAAGATGTTGGTAATGGATAATTAGTGCTGACCAAAAGTGACTGAGGCATATAAAATGGATTAGATCTCTAATTATTTCATGGTATTATCAGATTTTAAATTAGACTAGACACAATTTAATGTTATGAATATCTAGTTTTGCGAATAAGTGGTGCAAATAATATGCATCCCACAGTTTCATGGCACCTGTATTAATGTGGTGACCCGATGGATTATAAACATAATAACCATGTGTAGCTGTAGCCCGTTGGTGTTCATGTAATGTTGATTGGATGCGATAATGTGCAGGGATCAAAAGCAAAAAGGAAAAATGGGGCTGACATTCACAAAGCTGTTTAGCAGGCTTTTTGCTAAGAAGGAGATGCGTATTCTGATGGTTGGTCTGGATGCTGCTGGTAAGACCACCATTCTGTACAAGCTCAAGCTTGGAGAGATTGTCACTACCATTCCTACAATCGGTATGAATTTTCTGCAATTTAATAGCTCTGCATCTTTCAATTATTGTCTTTTTTTGTATACCTCCTGTGATGTAGTGTAATTGTTAAAGCTGAGGCTACCCTTTAGTTCTTTTGCTGGATTATGAGTTGAATACTGCTTAATTTGTATTTTATGGGGCTTTATTATTTTTGTTCAGGTTTTAATGTTGAGACCGTTGAGTACAAGAACATCAGTTTCACTGTTTGGGATGTTGGTGGTCAGGACAAGGTGGGGAAATTTTGTATGTCTGTCTGATTACTATGCCTTCATAAAAATACATGAAATTAAAATCAGGGTTCTAAATTTTGACATGATCAACTTTTCCCTTTCTTCTCTCATTTTTGGTGATCCTTATCATCATTGGTATGGTAAAAGAATACAAGGATTAATGTATCCTGTAATCTTGTCCTTGGTGGAGCTTCTTGAAGTAGTCATTTAACTAATTCATCCATGTTTGCAGATTCGTCCATTGTGGAGGCACTATTTCCAAAACACGCAGGGTCTCATATTTGTTGTGGATAGCAATGACAGGGACCGTGTTGTGGAGGCAAGAGATGAGTTGCATAGGATGTTGAATGAGGTAACAAATTTTTCTATCTTAACTCTGTTTATTTGTTCATTTTTTTAACTCCCAAGGCTACTGCTGGATGTGAAATATGAGTCAAAAATAGAAGCTCTTTTAGGCTGAGTCTAGGAGATTGATCATTTATGCAAAAAAAATAAAAAATAAAAAATGGGGAAGTTTGATTGTCTTTTTGATAGACCCCTTTCTTCACTTCAATGAGTAATTGTTTATAAAACAAGCAATGTAGTGTCCAATAAATTGCATGATGTGGACATGTGATATTGGTTAACATGATTCATGTGCTTAGATGAATTATGTATCTTGTAAAAAACAAACACATGAAACAGTTTCGATGCTTCTATAAAAAATGTTTGACGAAACAGTAGAGAGAGAGAGAGAGAGAGAGAGAGATTTTGCATCAAGTTCAGGCTTTCAGCAGCTGAACATAATGATGTTGACATGTCTATTTTCCCCTCTGACAAGATAATCTGTGCAGAAGGGGGGGATAAAGAAGCCATATAGTTGATCGGTTGCTATTGTATCATTTGCATAGCCTAATGTCATTTGAGCAAGTCTTTCTCTTTACTCTATTTGTACATTATATAATAAGTGTAGAAACAAGACAAACATGTCAATAATTTTAGCCAATTTTCTCTATTTTGTTAATCATGAATTGGGCTTAAATTGTGATGTGCCAAGAGTTCCCAACCATTGAACCAACTCCCTATGCAAAAGCTTTTTGGCCAATGGACACTTGACGAATTGGTGACTTTTCCAAATTGTGCACATAAAGTAAAAACAATATATTGACCTGTTGGCTGGAATCTATTTGACCGCTTGCTTCAGGATGAGCTAAGAGATGCAGTATTACTTGTATTTGCCAACAAACAAGATCTTCCTAATGCTATGAACGCTGCTGAAATAACTGACAAGCTCGGGCTCCACTCACTCAGGCAACGTCACTGGTAAACTTCTTAATCTTTATCCTTTAAGTCTGTATTCGGGTTAAACACTACAAGCCACTCAACTTATAATGTTGTTCACTTTGGTCATTGTACTTTTTATTTTTCCAAATTAATCACTGAACTGCTATTAGCCTTTCAATTTCTTTGCAGCACCTCCATCTGCTAAAATAATCGAAATACTCATGTGGCGGTGGTTGCAATGGAAATGTTGGTGGGTGAAGGGGGGGGGGGTGCTGATGAGGGTTGGCGAAAAGATTAAGCCTCCATTTGGCAAATATAAATGGTTTATAAATAAGAACAATAAGAAGAATAGTGGTGAATCCTTTGTGTGGATAATAAAGAATAGTAGTTATAAAAACGTAGTTGAAATTAATGTTTGATTAACTGAATTTTTTTACAGGGTTTATAATTTGGTATCCATACGGAGGCTAAGAATTTTCTTTTTTATGCATTTTTTTTTCCTCTTTTAATTTTTGTATCTGTAAAAGCTCAGTCTGAAAGCACGACCAGTCTAATAACATGCATTCTTGTCCAACTGGATGATATAAACAACGCACTAGCTGATTTTTTTTAAGCCACATTAGCATTGACGGAGTGTCTGTGCAAAAACAAAAATGAAATTTCAGCTACTAATTCGGAATTGAAATGGATTTCGATGATCAAAATGAAACAATGCTATAACTTTAAGTGATATCTGTGTTTTTAAACCTGTGTTTGGATAGGCCATTTCTTATTACTTTACAACTTGGTTTCTCTCGCTTCCCAGGTACATACAGAGTACCTGTGCTACATCTGGGGAAGGCCTTTACGAGGGGCTCGATTGGCTCTCCAATAATATCGCTAACAAGGCAAGTGTACAATCATACATTACTTTTACAGAAAATCGTTCTCGAATATGCCTCCCAACAATTCGCTCACTGTTTTCCGTTTTTTTGATTTCTTATCCCCTCATTCTGACATTTCTCCCATGTTACATTTACAGGCATAAAGTTATATGAAGTTTTTGTGAGTCGATGCTTATTAGTCCCGGCAGCCGGGTTCTTATCTAGCCTTATACATTTAGTCTGTGTGTTTATGGATATTCATTTTCAAGTCGTCTTGTTTTGTTCACGACAGCTTTAACCAATGTATATCACAATGATGGTTTGTTTTATGCATTTGCAAATATTTTTCTAGTATTAACATATTATATTGACCTGCATTTTAAAACTAAATGGATATTACCTGTTATAGGCCTAGGCCGGTCTGAGGGCAAGTTTGGCATTGCTTTTACTTTTACTTTTGTTTTTGCTGTTTCCAAAAGAAAAACTTTTGGAACTTTGAGAGTGTAGCAAGTTAAGATTCGGTTATTTCTCATTTATATACCATTGTTTCATGTTACGTTACCTACTTGGTTGACGAGTTGACTTGGCTCAGTTTTTAGAAGCATAAAATTATATAACTTTAACAAATAATCAGTGTGTTTAGGCATATAATGTCGTTGAGAAGTACTACTAAGATTAGTTTCAAACTCATGATTTCAAGTTCTTTCATGTCCAAGCTAAGCACGGTTTTGTGAAATCGTGCAATTTAAAAGTGTTAAGTACTATCCAATAATCTTTACCAAACATTCCCTGTAATGCTTGGTACCGAGAACTCAGACCAACTTGCTACTCTAGCAATGATGAATGTCTTGTATGTATACATGTCTATAATAAAGGTATCTATATAGGCAATGAAGTATTCTATATTCAAGGCTATAAATTTTGGGTTCTATAAAGGTAGCCAAGAAACCTTGCATGCATGGCAGAACCTACCATCTCTCTCGGATAATAATGTAATTTTTTATTTCATTATGATAAGTCTATTTGTCGATTAAATTCATTTTCTTGAGCATCACCTTTATGTGAAGTACTCTTCCAAAGACTAGGCTTAAACCTTTTTTTAAAAAATAAATAAATAAATAAAATAAGCGTGCAATCTTATTTGTTAAATACATGGAAAAGAAAATAAATACCTAGCTAAGGCATGAGCAACACAATTTTACTTTCGCCCAAAGGAACAAACTAACGAAGAGATACGGGACTGCAGGTCTGAAATTTGAATTACAAAGTTAACTCTACTAAATAGGAGATTTTTTTTTTTAAATTTATATTTAACGCAATTTTCCATCAAAATATTTACGTTTTATTGAACACGTATAATTTTTATAAATAATAACAATCTAGGACTCAAAAAGAATCTATTTTAAAAGTACACGTTTAACTATCTCGATAAAAGCTTAAGATGCTATTTATAGGTAAAAGCAAAAAAGGCAAAAAGTATGGTCCATTAGAATATACCTCATGGTCCTCGTCAAAATTCTAAATAGAATTAGTTCATATTTGCCTCCCCTTAAAAGAAAATTCTTTAATTCACTAGTTACTTGTATGATACCTAAATTGGTGTTAAATAGCATTACTCTTCTCAACTACGTATTTATACAATAAAATATTTTGCATGTAAGTTTAAAAAACTGCCCCATTTTTTAACCATACATTTTTCAAAGACATAACTATTTAATTTTTTTTTTTTTCAATGATGACCATCAAACAATGGCTTAGCAAATTGAGAGAGATATTGCATGTGCATGAAAATCGAAGGACCATAAATGTTTACATGACACAAAGGCATGATGGTATGGCTTTGAGATGAAATAGATTCTTTCACTTTTTAAGTTTTACCACTTGGCCATTTAATACAGCTCCATATGTTCTTGATTACTTGAATGTCTTCTTTTCCTTTTTTTTTTTTCTTTTTCTTTTATTAAAGATTGAATCCTTGCGCATCAATGATGCGAATTTTATGATGTTGATGTTAACTTTAGTACACCGATCAAATCATAGCAAACTTTACAAAATTGGGAAGTATTGAAAAACCTGGTGAACATAAATAGAGCAATGGCATGATACTTATGTTCATCACTACAAGAATGTAGATATAAGAGGAAAAATACTAGTTGTCTATAAAAAGTATGAACAATGAATTTATTTAAATGAAAAATTATGTATTGAATTCGTTACATAGGTAGTGATTGACATATCTTTTTAAATAGTAAGATACATTCGCATAGACTTACGGGTTCAAAGGAGACGACAAAAGGCTCAATACTAGAAGTTGTCAAAAAGTACAAGCTTGAGAAAATGTGGTAGCTTCATTAGTATCCTAATGAATTTTCACTAGCAAGTTAGCCATATAGTACACTTATCATATATCAATATATATAATTATTTTATATCTTTAATCGTGCTTATACCTTTATCTGTGTATCCAATGTTTAAAATATATTCTATATAAATATTCCACATAATGGGATTAAAAATCCTAGTAGTCCTAATCGTAAATGATGGATAATAGGTGTTGTGCATATCGATACATACAATATTGTAGTTAATGCATGATAAACCGTGCCTAAAAAGTACGAATATAAATAAATCCGCTTCGCTGAATTATATTTGTTTGATAAACGATTATTTCATTCTATTACAAGGATTTCATTAACCAAACAACTAGTTGTAAAAGGTGCATGATTCCAGTCTTAAAGTAGTGGATACCAAGAAACCATCCCAAGGAATACCTTTGGCGGCTGCAATTCTTCAACCATGCAGGGCTAAAGCAGGAGGGAAAAAACAAAAAAAACGGTGATTTACTTGGCAATCTTTTTAGATTTATATACAAAATTTGTTTCTTTTTAATAATTGCTACTTTCAAACCCAAATTTGTATCCTCATTCTCTTGAAAAGCGTGCCACTCTTCTGAACATATACAAAATTAAATTTAATATTTTTTCCAATCTCTTTTATTGGGTTTCGTTGTTCATATTTATAGTTAACTACAAGTTTTCAACGTAGAAATTCATTAATTATTGTCACTTATTGCTTAATCGCAAGTTTGTCACCAATTTTCACGACAGTTGTGCCGTGCCAACTTTATTAAAATTGTCTAATTGCCTTCATAAAAACATGATTTATTTCAAATTCCAAGACACTAATCTAAGTTGAAAAGTGAAATCTAAATTTAGTAAAGTATTTTCATTCATAAGCATTTCTTACTGATTATCAATAATGTTTCATCAATTAATTTGCAATTAAAATGACAAATCAATTAAAGTCATCTAAATGACCACATCACTGATTATGGGTAAGCCAATATGACAAATAGCATTATTCAATTTACAAAAGTTAAACATGTGAAAGTTACGTAACAATCTCACAAGATATTCTCTATTTTTAGAGACAGATAAAGCAAATATAATCACCAACTTGTTATTAGAGCAATAAATTGAGGACCTATAATGCAATTGTCCCTTTTAGTTCTGAATATATTCCAAAAAGACAGGTGACACCCACTCGATGCCCTCTCGTTTAAGCTGTCATTTCATTTCTATCAGAGAATTATTAAAAGAAAAAAGACATAAAAATACAAAAAAAGAAAAAGCTTGAAAGAATATTATTGTCAATTTCCAATTGAACATTACTCATAACAGTTAAATTGTAGCTGTTCATCAGGTGATAAGGCTAGATCATGATTCATGAATGGCAAGGTAAAGGAACAAAAATTGTTCATTCATTACCTCCATACATGATCCATGACTTTACACAAAATACATACAAAAGAAAAATAAAAATCCAAAAATATTTTATTTGAATTTCATTTCACATGCATGAATGTCAATCTCATCGGAGGCCTATATAAAGAGGGCCAAAGCTTCCAACCAAAGCACAAGAACAACCACCTTGTGAATCTTGCACATTCTAAGATCAAAGGAAATGGCCCCAGAAATAGCTAAAGATGCCTTCACCAGCAGTGGTAAAGTATCAAAGAATCCAGTTGACTCAAGTCGGGCTTATGTGACGTTCTTAGCTGGAACTGGTGATTACTATAAGGGCGTGGTTGGTTTAGTTAAAGGGTTGAGAAAGGTGAGGAGTGCATACCCTCTTGTAGTGGCAATTTTACCTGATGTACCTGAAGAACATCGTGAGATCTTAAGGTTGCAAGGTTGTACTGTTCGAGAGATCGACCCTATATATCCACCTAATAACCAGATTCAATTTGCAATGGCCTATTACATCATCAATTATTCCAAGCTTCGTATATGGAATGTAAGTATAGATTATACACAGTAACGTTATTGATGATAGTAGTACTAGGCTTTTTATTTATGCATGCATGTTCAAGCATCTTATTCTTCTTTTACTAGTCTAGATCACAACTTAACATTCTATTTTCCTAGAATAGTGAGGAGATCTTGTCCAATATGAAATATTGAACAAAACTTCTTTTGCTTCTTTAATTCCATCGTAGAATGCATGTTACAAAACATTAATTTTTATATTTTAAGACACGGATTCCTTAGTTATACCATTTAAGTTGTTCATGCCTACATGCAAATGTTCATGGAAAGCAATAACTAAGGTGAGGGCACAGTGCCCCATTTGAAATAAATAAGACCATTTAGTGCGCGCGCGCGTCTGTGTAACACGAGTTCAGTTTCATTTTTTGCAACTCCATTTGGTCCAATACTAGATCTAAAAGAAGACTTAAAGCATGACAACTACAAGAAACCAAGCTTTGGTCTACCTCCCATGTTCTACCAAGATCATTGTCACCTTTATAAAATGAGGCCTCTTTCAGTCATATCAAGGTCTCAATCATCACCTAAGTCATCCTTCCTTAATTTATTCTCAATCGTCACCACATCCACTTGTTGCCTGTATATTCTCGTTTCTTATCTATTCATTTTAGCATAACCCACTTCCATCTTAACATACTCATTTCTGATGTATCATCTTATTGACAACTACAGTAATCAGCTAACCTTCTTCCTTTTTTCTCATTAATAATGCAGTTCGAGGAGTACAACAAGATGGTATACCTCGATGCAGACATCCAAGTTTATGACAACATAGACCATCTCTTGGACACACCAAACGGCTACTTCTATGCTGTAATGGATTGCTTCTGCGAGAAGACATGGAGTCACTCCCCACAGTACTCCATTGGGTATTGCCAACAGTGCCCAAATAAGGTTACATGGCCTGCTGAAATGGGTTCGCCTCCTCCACTGTATTTCAATGCTGGGATGTTTGTGTTTGAGCCAAACAGACACACTTATGAAAATCTTCTTCAAACTCTTCCTGTTACTCCACCAACACCATTTGCAGAGCAGGTGAGCTCTGCTTGTGTGTGCGTGTGTGTGTTTTATATAATATCAGAAGCTTTAATCTAATTTGGGATTTCCCAGAACCTTAGAAAAGCAATTATGCTGAAAGTATTCTGCTAGCTACTTTGATGATTCCCCAGTGGCCAATATCGAGTATATAAGCAGTTAGATGTTAGGAGGCTAGGAGCTATATTAGGGTTTTAGTTCAGATCGCTTCCATATCATCTCGAGTCCTCAATAAGTAAATTTATGTATGCACCTCTTCTTTTATGCATGTTTGGTATGCATAGTACGCAGTACCAAACAATACAACTACAGCTAAAATTTTGAACTTCGTTTTCTTGAATACTACAGCCTGATATGAACCTTACACCTCACCAAACAAACCACCAGGTTCAAGTGCCACGTGGCTAACATTCTTATGCGGCCCAATTTCTATATAGAATTTGGTTGAAGAACTAATGAAACCGTTCAAGCAGGTCGTGTAATAAGATTTTTTAAACTGAGATTCTAATTGTTTTACTTGTAAATGACAGGACTTCTTGAACATGTTCTTCCAACAAACCTACAAACCCATTCCACTGGTTTATAACCTGGTTCTTGCTATGCTATGGCGCCATCCCGAAAATGTTGAACTCGATAAAGTTAAAGTTGTTCACTACTGTGCTGCTGTAAGTAATTAATATCTAGAAACTTTTCTATTTGAGAATTATAGATATGAGTGCGTATTTGTAACACTAAACTTAATTTATTTTTAGCCAAGATTAAAAGAAGGTCAAATTTAGGTTTTAAGTAAATTCTTATTTCAAACTTGCTTCGAAACTGTTAATTTTTTCTTATTAGTAAAAAATTACATATTTTCAACACTAGACATGATACTTTCAAAAACTATTACTTAATTCTAAAATCCTACTAATTCACTAATTTTTCAAAGCTTACTCAACCACACACTTAATATTGTTCAATACATGCAGAATCGTAACTGCACAGTCCACCTTTCTCGACAAGCCTTGGGGGGTTTATTAATACCTGTATAAAACTATATTTCACTAACATGGTTTAATTTCCTAACAGGGATCAAAGCCATGGAGGTACACAGGCAACGAAACCAACATGGAGAGAGAAGACATCAAGATGCTAGTCAATAAATGGTGGGACATTTATAATGATGAATCTCTTGATTTTAATGCTGAAGAATCTGAAGTTTCGGAGGAAAATACCTTCTCAATACCATCAATCATGGCTGCAGGGCTTGAGCTTGCAGGATCTTACATTCCTGCTCCTCCTGCTGCATGAAAGAAGAGCTTATCTTCATAATTGTGTACGACTAAAAAATATGCATATATAGTTTGTTGCTGTATGATTTTGATCTAATCATATACATCTAGCAGCAAATCAAGAAATGTATAAGTTTTCCTTCTTTCCTTACTACTATAAAATATCTATTATTATCTGAAATGATAAAAGGACTCTTTGTTACAGATTAAACTTTGCTTTGAATCAGTCCTCCAACCTATCCTCATACCCACCGAACCCTATGAAATGTCTAACTGAACAAATATAAATGCTTGCTAACTGAACACTTCAAAATACGTAATTGGCTTAGTGCATGTCAATTGCATCAGATACTGCAACTGAAAAATAATCAATCTTAAATTGACCCTTCTAGAGCACCACATCAAGATAGGATTAAACAATCAAAGGCTTAAGCACCAGAGAATAATAAGAACATCAGTATGCTAAAACTGAATTTTCACAGTCCTACGTAATAAGCATAAAAGCACAATCCAATCCAATGCAATAGATTTTTGAAATTATGTAGCCCTCCAAAACATGAGAATATTAGAACCAACAGGGTCAAATAATGCATGACTAAGAACACTTACAGAACTCAAGAACCAAAATCTTCCTCGCATTCTTCATATTCCTCGTCTAGGGGATCTAGTTCCTGGATTACTTCATCATCAAAAAGAAAAGATGCAGCTTCTCTGGTTCTTTGAGGCTTTCTGTCATTCAACCCTATGGCAGAAATTATCTTCTCTTTGATGCAATCCTCGACGGCATTTCTTGTGATTTCTTGAAACTGCAGTCCAAGAAGAGAAATGCACTCTCCTTTGAAACTCAAGTCATTGGAAGATGAGATCAGACCAGCAATTGTTTTGGCAAGATCGGGTGCATAATTGCAAATCTGAGGAATGAAAACAGATGTCAAAACCTAAGGGACAAATTTATAGGAAAGAGATAGAATATTCTTTCCATTTTTCTTTCGACTTTTGAGGGTGAATTGGCCAGAAGTGTTAATTCCATCATGGTTTTAAATTTTCTAATAGTTCATTTGAAAGAAATTAACAAGCATCAATCATTCCAGGGCCAAACCATAGAATTTACTAGTATCGGAAGGCTAAAAGAACCCTGGTTTCAGATGATATAACTCGTCATGCCAGGAGAAAATTTGTTAGTTGCTAGTAATCATTGCAAACCCCAGCAATTACAGTGACTCTGTCTTATCATTGAAGAAGCTGTCATCCATGAAACCAGAGATAAAGACATAATATTTGAAGTAACATGGATGGCATTTATTAAAATATTTTAGATTTTCTTTAGGCATTACTTACAATGTGTTTTTGGGAAATCGCAAATATGATTGCACCATAGACATTTTATCTACATATTTATATAAATAACCTAGAAAGAGATGCTCAAAAACTGACCAATACGAAATCTCCTTTGAGAACACTCCCAAAAGATTTTCTAGCATGATCCTAAATATTTTAGTATCTTTAAGCAGCTAGACTACTTCATTCTACCTTAAGTGCACGTTCACTGAGTAGAAATCCTCCATTCTTTTCCTTCAGTTCATTCAATGCAAGCTTGACAGCTTTTCTAGTAAGACTTCGATCAACTTGGCTGCTTTCTTTGCTAGGCAGTATCAAGACTGTGGCAGCAAGTTAAGGAACAGATGCAAGTAAACGTATATGCATTATAGACACTACAAGTAAAAGCTTATCACAGTAATTAGATATCTCAAGAAACTAAGAGATCGTGACAGATTGTATGCATTATAATTGAATAGGATATTGTTTGTGGTAACTGTGGAGGACAATGTCAATGTGAGCACATGGTGGCAAGTTCTGCCATTCTACTAATGTGCACCCATCTTGATCTTGAATGCTTCTTAAAGTTAATCCATAATCTTGCCATTTGATGCTCGTTAACGCATCCAGAGATGATTGCGGAATTGAACAAGGACAGTAGTCCTTGAAATACAGTACCTAGACACAGAAATTTAAGATCAATCAAGAAGTACAGATACGCATGCAAATAAATTACTTTTATTATCCTTGGTAAGAAGTATGAACCATTAGTAGCAAACAAACCAGGAAAACAAGAATATAAGATATTAATATCAATGTAGTAAAGTTCAAATATTTTAGGAATAATGCTCCACAGTTATAATTCAAGCACCGTATATATAGTTCATCATATTTACTGGTACACCATCATATCTTTTTCCTCACAGGGATGGGAGAAAATAAGGTTTCTTAACAAGTTCTTGACAAGGAACTATAGCAATTTACTTATTTTAGTTTCTCTTATTCATTTTCAAATTGATCATATTGACCAGGTCCTCGCAACCTTATAGTGAAACTAACACTATTAGGTACCAATGATTCAAAAGCATACATGCAATTGCAAAGAGAAGAGGCGTGAAGTAGCTCAGTGCAGTAATGATTTCAGCTTTGATTTAAGTTATAGACCGAGCATACAAAACTATCAAGTAGATTCCTTGATCAGACTTCAGGAAACTTTGCAGAAGACATTTGGTAGTGAAAACTCTGGCATGGAATAGACGAAATATATAATTTGTATTTTCTTAAATACGAAAGATTAGCGCTCTGTTATCAAGAACGAACCTCTGTTTTCTTATCATAGGCCCTGAAGCAGGAGGATTGGGCTGTCTCTGGTATTTTGCTAACAATAATCACGACTTCCATCACTTGTCCATTACTTCGTTGGTTTCCAGTGCTACGTGCTACTCCACTGCCAACTTTTAGATACTCCCTGGAGCTACTCACCAAATAGAATCCCAATTAGATAACAGACAATATCAAAGATGATATGATAAAATCTAGAACTTTAAACCAGCACGTGAAACTTTTAATGACTAATAGCCTTAATAATGCAGGATTGTATTGTCTATGCAACGACAAAGTATAAATGAGTAACTTTTGCTGTAATTATGTTTTATTTTGTTTTTTTTTTCCCGGTAATCTACACCAATGTAATTCTTCACTAAACTTGCACATTAAATGTCCTGAATAATAAGATAACATATAAGAACGGATTACACTGTATGACAAGTAGAACGGAGCCAACCATTACAGCTCCTACATGAGGTGAGGTTAAATAATGTTCCGAATGAAGAGCTGGTTGGACTACTTCCAGTCATGGAAATAGTATTGAAACAATGACAGACAATGCAGTGAATGAATAATGGCTCTACAGGAGCTATCAAATGGAGATGGAGAAAGAATAATTCTTATATGGCACATAAAGAACAACTTTTTCTTAGACATGTCAATTTCTGAAGCACTTACAGTGTCCTACAGATTATATATATATCAACATGAAATAGGTGCAATGCAAAGATACACCAATCTAATAAATTACAAAAGAAAGTGGAATCCACAAGTTAGAACTCACCCAGTTGAGAAGCAACAGTGGCAAACATCATTCAGTCTATTACCATGCTTAGAAACATATTCTTCAAAGCCTGACTTCAGGTGGTCAATATTCGGTGCAGATGAAGGTAAAGAACTGGATGCAAGTTGTAGTATATGACTTTCACACTGTGACCCTAAATTGCCACCAGAATCAACCAATAATTCAATTGCAATCTTCTGGAGAGAATAGAAAATGATCAACTTGTCAGCAGCAATGAACTTGGCAATGGTCTCGAAACAGTGCAATCTAATAATTTGCAACTCAAGCATCATTACGATCATATACATTATACAGTGCCAAAAGAAGGGACTTTAGTCATAGCTGAAAAACCTATTTTGCGAAGAAAGAAAAGACAGATGAACCTTATTCTTCGATAAAATTGAATAATTCTCGATAGTGCAGCCTAGACACACTAATAATATATGAATCACAGGCTTGTGTATAAGAAATCCATATATTTCAACCTGTTATCGTTATTTAACGAGATATGATGCTCTTTCATTGAAGTGCTTAAAATGGGAAAATAACTGATTTTAATGTTAGTGAACAAAACATGAACAAATTTGTATATATGATTTATATAGAAAACTAATTTAAATTATTTGACATGCCTACCATAGTATATGATGCATGACGTGAGTACATCAAAGTGTTTAAAAGATATCATGCTATACAGAATCAGTCTATCAGGTAAATATAAGTAAACTGAAACACTTAAAGAGCAATTTTGAGAAAAAGAAATCACTGGTAAGAACAATTTTCAAAGCAGGAACTGGGGGAAGAATTAACATCGAGAATCTGAAAAGGTCATAGGAACTTACAGGAGCTTTCAGCATGAGCATCTGCAGAAACGATCATGAAAAGGAATTAAAAGTCAACGACGAAATGCCCTGATTATCCACTAGCGACCAGATATAGAACGCGAGAACTGTCAGTTGAACAATAAAAATGAACGAAGAATTCAACCTTACGGAGAAAAAAGGTTATATCTCTCAGTAAATCATTAATATTTTCAGACGTCGATAATGATACTTCAGTTCCGCTGCAAAAGAAAGTAAAAAAGCAAAACAAAACAGTTAGACCAATGGCAGCAGAAGAGTCTTCAATAGCAGTGAGAAAAATTTGGAAGGAATAGTATGCCTGAATTGTGCGCCATTCTTTGTTGCTGAATGTAGTTTTGTCATCCTGCTTGAGGAATCAGTTTCCTTCAGGTTAACTTTGAAGTGATGTATCTCTTTATCAGATATGCCTTCAGTAAGAAAACATGAATAATTGATGAAAATGGAGGATGAAACCATGAGATCTACTCCTCGTTCCTAGGTTCCTTCTTATTTAAATAGAAAAGCACTTTGAATTTTTGAAATACACATCTTTTATTTTGTGTGTGCGCGTATATAACTGATGTTTAGTGTAAGCTAAGCATTGGTGCTTAGGAATATTCCCACTGTCATTCCAGTAAAACATAGTTAGCTTATATGCTGACAAAACTAACAAAAATGATCAAACTAACCAAATGTTCAGCTTGCAGAATGGATATACGGGTTTAAAAAAACAAAAAAAACCCACCCTAGAAGAGAACTTACTGGTGGTAGCAACACAAATAACTCCACCTGCAATGTCAAAGGTACCAATTGTCAGAAAACCAATGGATCATAAGAGCAGTGTTGTCTTTAAATTTTATTGAAACGCTCAACCACGGTAAAGAATGTACTATCAACTAGAAGTAAAATTGCTGATAAACCAGTTGCATTAATAGAGAACAGGAAATTGGACTCAAAGATCGAATATGGACTTCACTCCTCCTTTCTTTTGATCGCTTCTATCAAACTCATAAAAATGCTAATCAAGACCGTGGATAACCATCCAGAACCTATACCACCCAACCCCACCATGGCATGGCACCACAGAGAAAAAGAAAAGAAAAAGGCTGAAAAACAAAAGTGGATAACAAGTGAAAAGACCACCGCCGCCACCACCACCACCACCACCAGAGACAGCAGAGAGATGTAGAGGGTGTTTGACACCCATTAAAAAGGAGAAATGAATTTTGGAATAGTAGATTGATGGAGAATGTGTAAATAAAAAGTTTTTTTATTTATATGTAATACTATTTTAATGAAGAATGTGTGATTAAAAAGAAGAGAGAGAAAAATGCATTTTGAGAAAAATGGGAATCAAACGGGGCTGTAGTAAGATCATATTTCCTGATGCAAGAATCACATCAAATCAAATAATATTTTAAAATAAAAGGATCTAAATGTATGGAGAACAGGAGATCATATTGTATGCTGGTGATTTGTGAACATAACCTAGTAATGCTCAGATATCTTTAAGTGCATAAAACTGTTTAAAGATGCCGACAAGTAAATTTGGGTATGCAATGGAAAAATAGGAATTTGTGATCTAATAACACCAAAGAAAGGTCCACAGAGTATAATATTTATCCCAAAGAATTAGTATGACAGAAGTCAATCGTTCCAGCAGTACATGAAAAACTGGGATACCTTTGCTACAGTAACTACTACAGAATTGAAACCATTTTTTCTTTGTGGGTTTAAGATATCAGCTCCCCTACCCTAGATATTGTGTTGTAATCAAGTAAAAATTCTTATTTTCTGAGCTACACAAAATTATAATACATCGATTACAATTTTCATGCTGAGATATTGGCATGTAATTTATGTCGTGAACATGGAAAATAGCTTTACTTACCCCATTTATCAGCCACAATGGGATCATTGGCGAATTTCAATCCTAGAAATTCCTCAAATGTGCTTCCAACACCCGTATCAGAAACTGTAAAGGAGAAAACCAACGAAAAGTTCATTGAGCATTGTCAAATTCCATCTCTCTTGACTTTTGAACAAGTCATATTTTCAAATTCAAACAAATCACTCATTTTTTTCCCTTTTAGTCTGGCAAATTATAAATGGAAGGCGTCAACATACACAGTCTGTTCATTTGGTCATTTAAAATTACACCCATCTCTAGTTGAAATAAAAATTTGCCGATAAAGAATGTGGATTCCAGAAATAGCAGAAAAATACAAGCAATTCAGAATCAAGGACTAAAAAACAAGAACAAACAGCAGCAGACATTTTTTAGGCGCTCAGCACAATTTTACTGAAGAAAAAAATCCATATACTCAGAGCAAACTAAATCAACAGATAACATGATAGATATACAGAATATATTCGACAACGTGATATATTAACAAACTATTTCACCATACAGCATAATTCATGATATTCATACACCGATACACTCTCTATGTGAGTGTACCTGAGATCCAAAGAAGAGGCGGAGTGGACTGAGGAGAAGATTTCAGAGAAATCGATAATCTGCAAAAATCGTCAGAAATGCGGCATCTTCTAATTGCACAAGTAATCAACTACAACAAAAAGTTACAAGATCACAAAATTGCAAAAATAAAAGAAAAAACGAAATTAATTAGGTTTTGAGAAGCTCAAATAGAGTAAAAATTTAGAGCTTGGGACTCACGTAATTACAGAGATTTTGCACTGTATTAACTTCCATTGATTTTGTTTGACGAGTAAAGAGTGCGCGTTCCCGCGCATATTGCACTTGGAATCCAACCTTATATGAATCGGATCGTCTTTTAATTGCCGATATACCCTTGTACTTTTAATTACATCAACTTTAAGTTTTTAAAATTATTATTTATTCAAAAAACATACTTTTATAATTAATTCTACTTTTAAATAAATTCTCTTATCAATTCCGTATGATATTTTTCATGCTCATTTCATTTGAGGGATTCATAATACGTGTAGCAGTGAATTAAAAATGAGTAGAAAAAAACTATATTCTATTACAAATTTATTTTTATTGTTGTGTAATCATGTTTGGTATTGATAAAAATCAAATTTTAATAAATTTTGATAACAATGACGTAATGTGTAGTTAAAAAATCATAAACTCCATAAAATATGTGATTAAAATTAATTATTGACTTTGATTTATATTTAAAACTATGTTCGAGCTTTTCCGATTCTCATTATCGGATTGGTTACTCAGTCTATATTGCCGTATGCTTTGGCTAGGCTTTGATAGATCAAGACTAAGGCTCTTTTTAGTTCACCACGTACTTGGAAAACCCAAATTTTGATGTATAATTTAGCTTTCTAAATTTCTAACAAACATAACGTATCTGTTTGGTTTTACTAAAAATCAAATTTTTTTATTAAATTTTGATAAATTTAGGGCCTGTTTGTTCTCCTTTAATTTCAAAAAGTGTATTAAGGAATAACGATTGATATTGAAATGCGTGGTTAAAAAAGAAGAAAAGTATTTTAATTATGTGTAATATTATTTTAATGAAGAATGTATTGTTGAAAATAAGTACCGTGGAAAAAATAATGTCGTAGAATGGTTGACAAACAAAGGCTTAATGAAATTTATGATTTCACAGTTGATAAAAGTTGTGGATCCATGAAATGTATAATTTTAATTTACATTTTTAATCAACTCTTTTAACTAAATCAATCTGAAGATAAATCATAAAGTAATGTTATTTAGCACCAATGATACTAAGCACTAATATAATGGCGTACAAATATCATTAGTTGATAAATCATCTCGAAAGTATAAAAATAAGTCAAAATATAGATGTCCTATCATTTGCATGGATTTAAACCATGTTATAGCACCGTTGTATTACATGACGTTATTCTATTTTAAAAGCCACTAAATTGGTTTGTAACCCTGCTTGGCGTACAAGGACACAGGTCCCTGCAGGGTACACACACGATGGGCCCGTCACAAATTTTTTTATTACATGTGGGGCTCGCTGTTACAGTGAGGTATCTGGCAAGCCAATGTGAATTAGTTTTCTGTACGTTGGGCTTAATTCTTGTATTAATCTTCTAGTTCTTACTTTCGCCATGGACTCTTTATTCGAAAAGGGTTGTAATTATGGCTCGACCAATAGAGATATGAGTGTGTTTAATAGTGAGAGTACGAGAAGTGGGGGCGTGACCCATAGGGAGCAAAATTTTTTTAGGGTTTCGGTGGACTTTTTAGTATGTAGAGTAATTTAGAGGTGGGCTCCTCAACCCTTCTCATGGAGTAGTTATGCATCCTCCAGTCTTCAAAAACTAAGGGGGTGTTCTCTTTGTGTTTCAGTTTTGTGTTTTGAGTTTTGAATTCATTTTGAATTTTGTGTTTTGAGTGTTTGTTTTGAAATTGTTGAAAATGTGTTCTTTTTGTTAGTTTCTCAAAACAAAAAACAAAATTTTTTTTTTTTAAATTTTGAGAATCACCACAACATCACCTCAAAACACCAAAAAAAATCTTTTTTTTGAAATTTTGAGAATCACCACACTATCTCCTTAAAAAAAAAAAATTTTTATTTTTAATTTTTTTTTAAATTTTGAGAATCACCACACCACCTCCTCAAAAAAAAAAAAAAAAAAAAAAAAAAAAAAAAAAAAGTGTTTCCCGCATTTTCAATTTTTTCAAGTTTTACATTGAAAACGCCCAAAACGACAAAAAAGTCGTTTTGTGTTTTCTTCACAAATTTTTTTTCGTTTTCGAAAACGAATTTTCGAAAACGGGAAAGAAAACGCGTTTTCACCGTTTTGAAAAATCGAAAACAGAAAACAACCCAAAAACGGTAAAGAGAACAGGGCCTAAGGTTTTGAATCCCCAGTTATCCTAATATGTTATCTACAAAATATAAATTGTTAATTTAAACGTTAGACGTATATGCAACTTTAAGTTGAATTAACTATAAATGTCAAGTACGAAAACAGAAAACAACCCAAAAACGGTAAAGAGAACAGGGCCTAAGGTTTTGAATCCCCAGTTATCCTAATATGTTATCTACAAAATATAAATTGTTAATTTAAACGTTAGACGTATATGCAACTTTAAGTTGAATTAACTATAAATGTCAAGTAATTTGATGATTTTGTCCTCTGGTCGTGAGTCATGTGGAGGAAAGTTTCGATAGAACAATTGTATATACCAACGTGATACGATTGCCCACGTAAACGATGACACATATTACCATATGTACTATTTAATTATTTTCTATTTCTCTATTATAAATTCTGAAACAACCCAAACAAAAGATGACGTGTGCATTTATGTCAAGCCTACATTATCTTACTTTTTACCCGGTTTGTGGTCCAATTGCCCCCACTCCCCGCCCGTAATTAAGACAAAATTTTAGCCCCCTTTTGAGCCCCCATATTTCGAGAATAAGGGTATGCTCATGTCCCTTTAATTTCAAAAATTGTAATACAAAGTAGTGATTGATGTTAAAATATATGATTAAAAATGAACGAAATTTTTTTATTTGTGTGTAATATTATTTTAATGAAAAATGTATGACTAAAAATAAGTACAATACAAAAAAAAATAATACGGTAGAATAGTTAACAAATAAAGGTTAAATTCTGTAAAAAAAATATTTTGTTGCAAAATACGTGATTAAATGAGAATTTTTTTTGAGTTTATATATAATATTATTTTATTGAGAGAATGTACAGTTTAAAACAAGTTTGGAAAAAATATCTAAAAAATGAGGCTCATTCAAATGCTAACATAAAAATAAAATGCACCTTTTAAACAAAATTAAAATTCTCAATATCTATTTAATCAATGTGGCATGGTGTGTAATCTCAACCAAAGAAAGAGGCTACGATGCATCATAGCTTCAAGGATTTTGTCATTTGTACTCGAAACTTTACACTCCAGGTTATCTGCTCCTTACATGGGGATCGGGTCCCACTCTCAATAAATGCGTAGGACCCCACCCATGTGAGTGGTGGGTAACTCAGAGTGTAAAGCTCCGGGTACTTGTAGTAAAATCCTAGCTTCAATTCTAGCGAGAAGAGGTGGCATGATGGGCTTGGTGGTGGAGATTGAGAAATTGTGGGTGTGACTATACGAGATGCAATGTCATGGAGGAAAAGTTAGAGATCTAAGGGTGAGTTTAGTTTGCATTTCTGTTTTCCATTTTAAGTTTTGAATTTATTTTCTATTTTCTGTTTTAAGGAATTTTTTAAATATTGCAGAAAATCCGTTTGGTTTGTTATTTTGAAAAACCGTTTTGCAAAACAACAAAAGAAATATATAAAAAGCGTTTAGTTCAAAAATTTTAAAAATAGTTGTTTGACTTTTTTTTTCCAATTAATTTGATTATTTAGTAAAACATATCAATTTTATCCTAATATGTGATAAAAAAATATAAATTTTAAAGTTGGTAAAAAAATGAATCAACGTAAAATTGAGAGATAGTAGAGGAGAGAAGAATTCTCTATTAAGATTCTTGGAGGAGTTTGGGACGAGAGAGGAGTACTTGTATTTTGATACGTAATTTTATTAATTATTTTAATTTGAGAATTTTTAAATTCATTTTCCTTGTTTTTTTCTTTTTCTTTTTTTTTTTAAACGTAAAAAAAAAAAAAGTCATTTTGAATTTTGTGTTGTAATATTTTCCTATTTTCGAAAACTCATTTTTGAAAATAACATATTAAACACATTTTGAGTGTTTTAAAAAACTGAAAATAACCTCAAATTGACAAATTAAACGTACTCTAAGGTTTGGAGTTGGATTTAAGTCTTTGATGTTCTGTCAGGATTTTTCAATTCCAAGTAGAGTTTATTTGAAAACAATGGCGACCTGATTGAATTTGATTTTAGTGCTGAACCCGAAACTCAACTCAACTATATTAATTCTCATATAAAACAAAACAAAACAAAACAAAATCGATTACGTTTTGTTGAAATACCAATACCAAATGGTTTGGGTCAAGGCAATTGATTCGACCGGTTGGCCAATTTAAATGCCAACCCCTACTCAAAAGCCAAGCCATGATTACGAAAAACACTTGCTCTATTTTTTTGTAGTAAAGAATTGGAATATTGGTTATAAAATATAAAATAAAACTATCATTTTTGAGAAAATCTTGTTCTTATATAAATTGAAAATCAATCTTTTTGCCATCACAACATAAGATTTTAGTCTCATTTGAATTTCATTCAATGGGTTACTAGCTAATATTGGTCGAGTGACAAAAATGTAACCAACCCCATTTTTATGAAGAGTTATTAAGTGTGCATTTAGCGTTGCAAATACTTTATTATTGATTATAGTTTTTATATTTAAATCTTATAGAATTTTACTTTACCATGCTTGTAACTCATATAAAATTATCAATATTAAAAAAAGAATGTTATTAATGATCAGAGACTGTAGCAGTCATTCTACGGCTCAAATAACAATTTAATACCTCAAATAATAAATTGTCACATAGGATGATTGTTGTATTCTACGGCTCTAATTACTCATTGAAATTAAATGAATAAGAGAGGAAAAGGTAACAAATTTATCTTCTTTAATTCTATCTATTTTGTAAATTAAACATACATTTGTGGTTTCACCATAACAAAAGACAACAACTGAACACACACCAATCCAAGTTAGACTTTGTGTTTCCACATTTTAATAACTGATATTAACAACTTGTCTCCAATTAATTGCCTTAGTCTTCGTATTAGCTGCGATCGATTAATCTTGTTTTCCTGTCCACCAACCACAAAAATAAACTTTCATTCACAATTATAATAAAATGAAAAGATTAAAATCACATTTGGTGTGCTATTCTAGGCAAGACTCAATTCGATCTTCTTCTACCATTCGCTCTTTACTCAAAACATACGTTGCATTTGACATCCTACTTTGCACTTAACGTGAATCGACCTACTTCAGTGGTGAACCAATAAAATCTGCACTTTTCTGAAAGGCCGACTCCATGCAACAAAACTTACAGTCGACCACAAGCCATGCCGACCTACCCACAAACACCATTTAAGTCTGTTTGATAGAATTTCTGCTTCTGTTTCAACTTTTTGTAGAAGAGCTTTCGAAATCTAGCTTCTTCAAAAAGCATTTTTAGGATGTTGAAGATTGTGCTAAACTTGGGCATTTCAACCTACGATTACACTGCATATAAACGTATATAAATGCAAATTCGAGAGTTAAGAAAAGACACTTACCCGAAAATCCTTGTAATATCTGGAAATCAACTTCATTCTGGAAGGATCTAGAAAGTTGGAAAGAACATTCAAGAGCATAGGAAACTTCATGCTTGGTGACTTGGGTTTCACACAATAATAATTCTTGGGGGTCCTAAAACTGATAATATAATTGGGGAAAATATGAGAATTCATGTAAGCCCTCCATATTATGTATTTTTTGGGTGCCAATGGATTGTCAATTCCTGAGTCAAAATTTTCCGAACTCGGTTCAAACTGTCCTGAACCGGCAGAAACCACTTCCGGTTTACCCAATATTACGCGACACAGCAACATATGCCTTAACCCATTGTCGTCCTCTTCCGCCAACATTGCACTGCAAAAATAAAATTCATAGTATTATTTTCGATAAATTTAAAACTCGACGATACATTTTTTCTCAATCACGTCAACTTATCTATAACATAAATGCACAAAGTGAATAAAATCGAACCATTAATCAAGCGAATTGCACTTGACCTCACAAAATTATCCCCATTTTTTAGCGAGTGGAGCCTTACACAATGAGTTGGTTCAACTAATGCCTAATTTTTGAATTTCCCCCCAAAAAATTATGAAAATAAAGCTAGGTCAATTCGATTCTTATAAAAGTCAAGAGCTTGATCGGCCATTGAAGCTGGCATCGTCTCTAAACAACTGAATCAATTTTTATGCCATTCTTCACTACTGTTAAGTTTAGTTAAATCATATCTCAAGTTAAAATCTTATAAAAGTAGAAGAAATGTGTTACCCGTTCGAAAAGTCAACTATAGCATCATAAGAAGGACCTCCTTCTCGAGATACACAAAAAAGTACGGTACATAGGAGGTTGGTTGAAGAAATCTCACAAAGAACTAGAGAACTTAGGAGCTAAAATAAAAAAGAGAGGGAACAACTTAATAAAGAAATTCAAGAATTGAAGAATAGATCCTTCTTTGCACGCATAAGAGCTTTTTCCTTTATGTGTAGTGCCATATTTTTCAAAATAGATATATGTGTTATGTTACAAGTCTAAGCTTCGGATTATTGAAAAGTTAAGATCAAAAGTTGTAGACACCGTAAAATGTACGATTGAAAAATGAATTTTCAAAAATAGAGACCAAATAGAAGCCAATTCATTTTAGTAAAATTAAAGTCCCGTTTGGTACACATTAACGTAAAAATGAAAATGAAAAATATAGTCGTTACGAGACCTACACCAGAGATAGAAAGTCAAATATGATGACTTGATATGATTGATAACGGTCATATTTTTCATTTTAATGGGCAAATAATGAGAAACAAATGGGGCTAAATTGCTATTGCAAGTAAAATTTTAATGCAAGAAATTTGATATTTTTTTTAGTAAATTAAAAGCTGAAATTATTATCTTTACCCATCAATAGCAGCGTTGGTTGGAGACAAGTGGATGCCAATACCATGTGATACACCATTTTGAGGCTCTTTGCATCTACTAAATCCATAACCAATTATTTCACACAATTCGTCTCTAGAACCACCGTACCATGCATACTTCACATTGGCGTCTCCGCCGCATTTCTCCGCTACTGCAGCCGAGAAAATACGGAACGCCTCCATCCGCACCATCCCGGTTCGACTCGAATACAAGTTCTTATGTATAGCAACAACATCACTCTCCTTCCCAAGCAATCTCATTCCCATTAAAAAGCTATCCTTGATTACAATGTGCTCATTTTTCTCCTCGTCCAATCTGATCATCCCATTTCCTGTGAAAAACTCGAATTTCTCGACGTCGGGATTCGAAGATTCGCATTCCGAATCAGCTGCTGCTGCTGCTACAATCTCTTGATGATGATCATCCACTGTGATTGAAACCTGATCTTGATCAAAATCTGTATGATGATCCATGATCACGGGCACGGAAAATGGAATTCAGAAAGCTAATATATATATTTATATAGCCCATGAAACTTGAAAGAAGGGTTTTTTCTTAAAACTTAGGCTTTAAGAAAAGATTTTATAGATAAGAAGAAAAAAGTAATCTTCCAGAATAGCCAAGAATGGGAATATGAATATTTTATATCGAAAGTTGCCACCTTTGCAAGATTTGTTCTTGACAACTTCAAAGCTTTAAAGGGACCAATAAAAGTCAATAATACCAACTTTCACTTTGACGACATTGTTTTCTGCATGTGTGGGTGCTCAACAGTTACGTATACGTGTCGCCCATCTACAGATAGACAAACAACCGACCTAGGGTAGGGATGGTTTGTAAAGCTTTCGACCAAAGTTTTAGCGAACTGAAATAAAAATTGATAAAATATATAATTCTGATTTTGATAATAGTTTTGAATCTCATTAACTTTCTATTTGGTAAAAATTTTAAATTTAGCATAAATCAAAGTTAACAATTAAGTTTGATCACATATTTTAGAGGACACATAAATTTTCAACTACATAATTTTATTAGTTTTTATTAAAATTTACTAAAAATTTGATTTTAATTTTTACCAAAAAGGATTAAGTACTTATTTGGTAGGGATTTTGATAATTGATTTTTTGACTGTTAGAAATAAGGTGAGTCCTATCTATGAAAGAAGAATTCAAAAATGACTATTGAAATAGTGAAATAAGGGTCAAAAATTTAATTTTAATTGGTTTAAAAGGACTACCAAATAAGCTCTAAATGTATGGTTTGAAATTTGATCGGTGGAGAAAATTAATTAAAATTTTATCAAAATTGCGTGAGCATTATTTAAACATTTAAAAGACATGCATGGTTCGCTTATGGTCCACGTCAGTGCAAAGACCTTGACCTACACGACAAGTTAGTTGTGAGGCTTTTGGCGACAATTCAGACACGATTTGCGCTGTGAAGAATTTGATTTAAAGTTGTTTTTGGCTGCAAAACAAAGTCAAAGTTGTCTAACTAATTAAAAAGAATATACATGTGCAAAGCAGAAGCCTCTTTAGGAAAACCATTTTAATTTTTTTTATTAATTAATTGATTTCTGTTAACTCTTTACACGATATAACATGTGAAAATCAATTTTTTTATTATCATTATTTTTTAGAATATTCAAAAGTTCACATGCATGTTTCCTATCCAACTCGACATCAATGGAAATGACGTGCCTTAAAAATTCCTATATTTTCCAATTCTTATCACATTTGAATTTTGGACATTTAATTAATTTAAAGAGACTAAAATCCAGTATTAGAAGTCAACGATTTTGTGATGTTTCAATGAATTAGGTCGGTCAATGATTTTTAAGTGATTCGAGAGATTTTCATTCCAATTCAAATGTCAAAATGCTATCGAGTAACACATTCTCCCGTCTTATTTGTATGCGTTCAAGATAGAACAACGAGGAAGACTTGCTAGATTTCATTTGTGTGTGTACACACAATTATAGACATTTTACTCAAATACCACCTATTCAATGAAAGAATCATAGTAGCATATACCCATTTACATTAAAATTTTGAATTAAAGCTATTACTCATATATTAGCAAAAGCACCAAAAGTGCCTCATTTATTTATTTATTTATTTTTTTAAATTTTAACTTATATTCATACTTCTCACATTGAAAATTTTCCTTTTCAGGTCACATCTCATGAAAGCTTAATTTGTACAAATTTCATCAAAATAATGATATTTTAATTTAACCAAACAAACCAACTCACACCAAAATCCAACAAATACGTCTTGTCTATGTAAAAGTTTCACCATCTTCTGAAAATGAGAAATCAAAAGCCTTCTGTTTACTCTCTTGACGACCCCATTTAATTAATTTTGTAAAAATATATATATATATTTTTTATTTAGAAGAACTTTTAGAGAAAATTGATTTAATATGAGTTTCTCTAAAATTTCTTCCGGAAGAGAATTATTTTATAATTTAGTTTTAATATACTAATTAAAGTAATTTCCTCAAAAAAATCTTCTACAAAAAGTAGAAACACCAGCCGAATATGCCCATAGTTTAAGACCATTTTTCCATTTAAACTTTTGGCTCGTCATGTCTTGCATTGTGTATCAAAATATCGTATTCTTTTTTTATTTATTTACTAAGATTGTCACCAGCAAACTTCCACCCTCTGATGTCGTTAATCTCCTCAAATTAAGTTTCATTTTAACATCGACTCGAACAACCTAAAGCCATTCTTTGGTGTCGAAAATCGCGCTCATGATCGTACTTCCCTTGTGTTATTGACAATTTTTTAATCAAATTTTAATTTTTTTACTTAACCCCTCTTTCGTAAAGATTAAAATCAATTTTTTTACTTTAATTACATTCAATGATTAAATTTAATTATATAATTTATGAGATCCACAATTTTTTAATTATATATTTAATCAATTTTTATTGAAATTTATTAAAATTTTGATTTTAATTCACACAGAACTGTAACTTAATAAATTTAGATAATGTATTAGGACCTGTTTGAACCCCATTTTAATGTAAAATACATTTTGAAATAATAAATTGATGGAAAATATATGATTAAAAATAAAAAAAAATTTATTTTTTTATTAAAAAATATGTGACTAAAAAAAAAGTGGAAGAAATGTATTTTAAAAATAACGAGACATTACAATCAATATTTTATGAGACAATTGAGGTCGGAAAAGCAGTACTGCTGTGATACTTTTTCTACCTTCACGTGAAAGCCACGTGCCTCCCTGTTCTTGAGATTGAAGTGGACAGAGGAGAAATTCTACAGAAACAAGGCAGAGAAAAATCCACCTTCAAAGTTAATAAGCAAGCTTTATGAGCTAAAATTACTGGGTTTTCTTCACCAAAACCCCGAGTGTTATTCCTTGAGGTAAGCAGAACTACATGTATGTATGATTCATAAGGTAAAATAGATACACATTTAAGTGTTTTTAATTGATTTTTTTTTAAAGATTAATGCCTTAATTACATGAAGAAATTAACTTGATTTTCTGTTTGGATAATGATTGAGGGACTTATCTTGATTTAGTATATTTATTAGGGTGATGCTTTCTGTTAAGATTGTGAAATTAGTTTTAGGATGAAGATGGTGGAGTTCATAGGTTTTTCTGTAAGTCTACCCTCTGTCGGACATTTTTTCTTTGTTACTTGGGTATTTTGAGATAAATAAATCTTTCTCCCATTATCTTCAGACTTAAGGGAGAAGGGGGAAATTCGATATTTGAGTGATGGTGAGTGATGTAGGGAGATAGAATCTCTTTTTCGAAAAGCTATATTTGATAAGGTTGAGGCGCAATCAAGTCCTCTATTGCAAAGAATCAAGCACGGGAATCCACTCCAAGCAATATTCGTTTAGGACCACTTCATATCTAGCCCCTGTTTGGGCCCTTTTTTTTGGAGAAAATGTATTCTGGTGATTTATTTTTTTAGAATTTGTGGTTAAAAAATAAGTTAAATTTTTTGGTTTACTCGTAAAATTATTCATAAGAGAATGTGTAGTTGAAAATGAAATTTGAAAAAATGAGTTTTGGGAAAGATGGGGCTCAAATAAGGGCTTTAGTGATGCTCCGCACCAGCGAGAGTTTGTTCAAAATGTTCTCTGCCAAGGGAGTTAATGATTCTTATTGTTCGAGTGCTAGCTAGAAACATGTTGGTTACAGCTTGGGGGTTTGTCATCCAAATTATGAGTATTCATAGGGAAGTACACTCACCACAACAAAGTCTTTCCCCATGGATTTGGTGACCTTAAGTAGGTCTCTTACCCCTCTTTCCTTTTGGGTATATTTTGGTCGTTTGTTCTTCTACCGAGAGCAGTACTGTGGAAATATGAAAACAAATGACTGTAATTCATGTGTGCTTTGCTCATTTTCTGATTAGTTTTGCTCTCGGATATAGGGATTAGGATTTAATCAATAACAATCTTGTCCTCATTTTCAACAGTTTAGATTGTCTGACCACCTTCCATAGACACGTATTTATAACATCGGTGACTCAGAAAAGTTGAAATGATTGATATCACCTTACTATGGCGATTCATGTAAAGGACTAACTCATTGCCATATCAAGTAAGTTTTGAAAAACAAACACATAAAATAAGGATCATAAACACTGTATGAACAATGTTAGTTTGGTAAAATGTTGTTGAATATGACAGAATTCAATTTATTGTCTCATTGCATTAGCCATATTCAGATCCTGAAGGAAGAAATAAAATTACCAATTATAATCAAGCAGGTTTGGATGGGTGACATGCAACCAAGCAATGATACTTCAAAGAAGGGATATCCTAATCATACTGGTTTTGCGATACCTACCTTTTTCTCACAATTCCCAGAGAAAGTTCAGAAATGCCTCAAGGTAAGTCATCACTTTCAGTTGATTAGTGGAGATTAAATTGTGTTGCATATAAGATCTGTTTATCTTTATTTCCAGATAGACTTTGACCAATTGTTGAGAAATGATAATATGACAAGCCCAGAAATTGACCAGAGAAATAACAAAGAATCATCGGCCGTGGAGTTGAGTCTTGAAAAGCAAATGTATTCTTGGAAAGAGAATCCAATTTGGGAGGACCATCCTCCTGATATAAATGTAAGAAGAATATATGTATGAAATCGATTGTCCATTTTATGTTGAAGCTAGAGGGAATTCATTATCGCCTTCTTGGTTTTTTAACTCAATTAAGTGCTTGTTTGTTATTGCTTTAAGTGCTTATAAGCAATGGGTCATATGAAATGTGTGGATATTAGGTGGGTAGTAAATTGTTTGTTCTACGAAATGTGTAGATAAAAGTATGTTTAACCAACTTATAAAAAGGCTAAGCAGTGTTAAATCTCTTAAATTTTTCTCATTCTTATTTGTCTTCAGGTATTTTTTTATGCACCTATAGTTCTGGTTCCTTATCATGTTGAGATGAACTATTGGGAATTAGGGAGCTGTATAGGATTTATTATATCATCCTAACAATGAGAGAGGGTACAAAAAATAGGGTAGTGCGATTTTTTTCATAAATTTATTTTCATCATCATAGTAAATTACTGCTGCCTCTAAGAACACGTATTACATTGAGGCAATCATCTATAAATCTCATGTGCTCTTATGTGTCTATTGTCCTTATGTAATTTTTTTATTGCTCTCGGTGGTATAGAATTATGATTTTTAGTTCTTAATAGATGTTTCTCTAGTTTCCTACACCATATAAAAGAATACGAGGGGACCATTTTCCTCGAAGATAAAGATAGGTTAGGGAAAGAAACACCTTGCAATCTTTTTCTTCAATATGGTGAAAAATCTGCCTCGACAAATAGTAGTACCTCTCACCTAAGAAGGAATCACTATAAATTGTGTTCTTTGCTCTTGCTCGTTTTCTGATTTCTTTTTCGTCTATTATTGATTTGGTTTTAGGTATTAAGATTTAAACAAAACAATTTCTTTGATGCTGCTGTTTGTGGTGTGTGCTCACGTTCGTTTAGATCACCTACTACGCTAATCTGTCATTATCACTAAGAATATCTTTCAAAAAGTGCATGAAGTTAATTCTGCTATGAATTTTTTACAGGTTACGGTGCCTAAAGGCTCTCTTTGCAACCTTAATTTGAAAGTTGATGTTGGGTTGCCTCCCGATGCTGTCTACAACATTGTAACAGACCCCGATAATAAGAGAGTATTCAAAAATATTAAGGTAATTTACACAAATAAGATCATGTCTGGCTAAGCTTAAAAAGGTGAAAACTACTTTCTTTGAATTTAGAGAAGTCGAGATTTGAACGGAAAACATCTTTTTAAAATGTTATAAGCCTTCACAAACATGCTCTTACCTTTCCTTATGTCGAAACTCAATTTAAATTAGCTAAGAGTATGGGAACAAAGAACGAGAGAAGTTTTGTATAATTTCTCGACTCTCATTTTCACAAATTTCCTTTATCACCTAGTATCACAGGTATTTACATTTTAAATATGACATTATCAATTTATCTATCAGGAAGTAAAATCAAGAAAGGTCTTAGTTGACGAGGGATCGAGGCAGCTGGTAGAAGTGGAACAAGCAGCAATTTGGAGATTCCTTTGGTTGTCTGGGACCATTTCAATTCATGTTTTGGTGGATCAAAACCGAGACGATTATTCAGTAAGTATAAAACCTTGTATTGTTGAATTGAATATGTGTTCATTTTGTTGGACACATATTAAAGCATGTTTGGGTAGTTATTAAATTAAAGTTTAAGTGATTATAAGTTAGATTACTACGGAATGTGTGGATAATAAGTGGAGAGTAGTTATAGGTTTTACTATATGTGTGGATGAAAATTATGTTCGACCAACTTTAGATTATAATTCAATCACTTCCAAAACATTCACTTATTATGTGGAAGAATATGGGGTCGATTTAAGATTTCTCATCTGTCTTTCCATCATCTTTATCAGATGAAGTTTAAGCAAATTAAATCCGGATTTATGCAAAGATTCGAAGGTTGCTGGAAAATGGAGCCCTTTTTTGTCGATGAAGAATTATGCCATCCATTTAAACCTCCATCTTTGACGGATTATATTACATGCACGAAAGGCAAAGGAAGAATCGCATCGAGATTGAGCTTGGAGCAACTCATACAACCGGCTATCCTCCCTCCACCGCCGATTTCATGGTATCTCCGAGGGATTATGACAAAGACAACCGAGATGTTAATTACCGACTTGCTAGCTGAAGCTGCCAGAATCAGACAGGATTCCTGCACTTCTGAGGAAAAATCTATTGAACACGAACAAGGTGATCCATGTGATATCAAGAAACGATGGGCCATGCGACGTAAAAATGCTAGGCTTTCTCGTACTAGCTAGCTTGTCGTTGAGTTCGAAATCTTGTTAAGCCATCAGTTTTTGATTATTTCTATTCAATCATATGATTGTATCTATATTATCCAATAACATTTTTTTCTTCAATAACGGGGGAACTCGTAGCCGCTACCCTTCTTGTGTGCACTAGTGAAGATATTGTCAAAGTTGGTGAAGATGACATGTTTTACATTGGTGAAGATAGTGTCAAAGTTGAAACTTGTTTGTCACCCTCTAGTTTACACCAGAACTAGAACGATATCATATCTATTTAATTGTCATATTTTTAGTGCAAAGGATAATTTTAGGGGTGGTCCTTAAAATGACAACTTATTTATTAATTAATTTATTTTATATTCAACATGTTATCTTCATTAAAAGTTTGATAAATACACAAGCTTAAAATCTATTCTACCACTTCTTCTAAAAATTTTATTTTAAACACGAATTTTATCATTTATATTGTCGAGAAATGGTCTACTAAATATTGATGTTCAACATAAGTTAAATAACGATAACATATCATATCAATTAATAGATATATCATTTAATTTATGAAAACTATAAGTTAGTGGTTCACCAATTAATTGATGTGTAAGAACATCTACTAGAGATTCTTTAAAGGTGAAATACTTTTTATATTAAAGAATCAACCCTTAAAATTATGAATAATGCAATTTAATCCCACTAAGATTATAACATTAGTCAACGTGGCACTAATGTGACAGTAAATGATATGTATAATTAAATGAGTCATTTAATTCTACATTTCATTTAGTATATCACATAACACCACATAGATTGGAGTCATAACTGTAGTGGGAGTAAATAGTATTATTATAAAATTATACTCCAAGAGATTCTTTAAATTAATATTTTAAAATAGAAAATGAGTTTGATTATTCAAATTTAAAGAGTCAAATTCATTCTCTATAATTAAATGCATTCAAAATATTTCAATTTTCAATGATCCATGAATTAACCCAATCGGATTCTATTATTTAATATTATTTATCACAAAATTAATTTAAATAAATAATAGATCTTGCCAAAATTAAATGCATTAAACATATTAAAAGCGTTTACAACCTAAATCGATTGGATTTAGGGCATAACACTTACAAAAGGTATTATGTGGACTACATAAATGCAACAACAAATGAGCAATTTAGAAGAAGACAATTATATCGAGTGGGATAGGTCTCATGAAAGAACGGATGAAGTTACTACCTTTTCTTTGCACATCCAACTTCCGTCAATTACTCACATACATTTTCATGTATGCTTATAATGGATTGTACACCCTCTTTTAGAGATTGTTGCCTTTGACCCAAATGGCATTTTTGTTGCTTTCATGTTCATGGAAGCTGACCGGTAAGTAAAATGTAGTTGCGCAATGGAAAAGTTGAAAACCTTAATGAATTATGACGCCTATCCACATGTCGTTGTCACATATAGGGAACCGATTGTTATTCCGACAACCGAAAATATTTTACCTAATTCCAAAAATCTACTATGCAGTATGCACATAGCACATATTGAAAAATATATCGACCAATACAAAGAAAATTTTGAGCGAAAAGAAGAATGGGATACTTTTTGTAGAAGTTGGAGCGTACTTGTTGCATTTATTACGAAGGAGATATACGAACAATTGGCCAAAACTTTATCTTTCCAATTTGACCAATTTTTGAAGGCATTAGATTATGTTATAGGATCTTGATTGAGTAAATATAAGGAGAAATTCATTGCCCCTTGGACGAATAAAATTATGTACTTTGGTAATGTCACAACAAAATAGTAAAATGTGTAATCCTTATATTTAATTTATTATAAACATCATTTATTTTTTAATCAGCAAACAAATTATTGTCGATTTATCTATTTATTTATATCATTCACAGGGTTGAGAGTGCACATTTAAGTTGAAGAAACACCTCACAAGGCGATTTTGAAACTTCATGGAAAGTTATGCATCACTTATTGAAATTGCAATTCAGTGAGATAAAAGCTTCGTTTGACCCAAGCATGAATTCAGTGCAACATAATTTCAAATGGTTTTGTGTCCAAGAATGTAATGGTCTTCTATCAAGACAGTCAAATCAAGCAGAACATATTGGGTTGGACAAAAATGTTTGTCATTGCACTCTTAGATCTACACATGGTTTACCATGTGCATGTGAGATTTTAGAATACATAATTACAGGTCGTCCCATTTCATTGTCAATTGTTCACTCTCATTGGATAAAATTAGATATTTTTGTTCCATTAAATGATACTTCTTCCAAGTTGAATGTTGTTGTTGAATTAGAGAACATTCAAAGATTGTTTGGCGAATGCGACAATGTAGGTAAAGTACTTAAAATGAAATTATGAGAAATGTATGAGCCCTCCACTACTTCTTTGGTACTGCCTGCTGAGAAAGTTAAAACCAAGGGCCGACCTTCATCAAAAGTTGATACTTCAACTAAAAGGGTTCCTTCATAATTTCAAATTGTTGAGTCATATAACGATAGTCATTTTTGTAGCACCAACAGCTCCGTCAAAGTTCCAAAGAAGGATAAACTTTAAGTTAGGCGCACACGTATGAATACTTTATACCATTACATAACTTCTTTCCATGACAAAGTCAAAGATTGCATATTTAACATTGTTGATGTTAAGTCCGATGATTGGATTTGGAGAGGAGGCATGATTATATATTCAACGTGACCTCATTATTGAAATGAAATCTAATTATGATGCCTATGTAAAACTATATGGTAGCTATGAAATGGTGAAGGAGTTGTTATACATTATGGATTACTTTAATAATGGAGTCTTGTTTGATCGATGGATGATGATGCCTGACATAGGCCATTTGATAGCATCTCGGTATGGTGTTGTACTTGTCATTCTATCTTCTATACAATATTTGACATTCCTACCACTCCTCTCATTAAATCATAAGATTATATCACTGCGTTTGTAAATGACAATCACATTGTTCAGGTATTTTTATTTATTTATTTATTGACTATATATCATTAGTGTAGACTTATTGTTACTGATTTGATTTATCACTTGTATCGGTCAACTTGAAGCCTAATTGCCAAATTCCATCAGTGGCATATAATTAATATAAATATGAAGAGGATATTCTAGTGCATGGGATAGTACATTTAAAGCTAGACTAGAGACATTCAAAGAGATGATTGGTATTGATATCGCTACACAGGAGATTTTTAACAAAAACTCTCCATAATTAGCTAAAGAATCACATAAGAGGTCAAAAGAGGATATTGATAAACTTCTTGCATGGGTAGAAACTTATTCAATTTGATTATTCCCTCTTTCTTGTAATGAAAATTCCTCAACATGTCCAGTTTAGCAAAAATATGTCATAACTTAATTTGGATTTTAAATGTGTCTGATGAATTAAAGGTGGAAGGTGAAAGGGCAATGGGTGGTTCAACATTTTCATGGTGAAATTATTCTTGGTTGGAAATCTGATCTTGTTTTTATTCTTGGTTGAATATCGCTTTATTACTCTAGTTTTTAAGATTGAACTTTATGATTTAAATTCTAAAAGAATAACAATCCGCTTCATCAAAATAAAACCCATTCGTTATTAAAATCTTTTTATCCATGAAATTGTAAGGTTGTCGTCGATCAAGTTTCTTAATTTCCACATAGAAGTGTTTTCAAAGTAAACTTCCAAGACTAAAAATACGAAATTGCAGATCCATTAAAAATTCATATTTCGATTATATAGTAACCCAAACAAATTACTGACAACTTAAAAGGATCATTTCAAATATATTAATTATTTGTGACAAATATTCAGTTTATTATGGCATGGTCCAATCACTATGAAATAATGAGGGTAAAGCTTGAGAAAATGAGGATTAATATTGGTGATAAGTACACCACAATATTTTATTATATATATTTTTTTTCAATTTTTTGTTTTTATTAAATTAGGAGTATAATTGTAAATTTATTGTGGTGTATTTATTAAAAATATATTTTAATTATGGTGTGATTATAATGTGGTATAGTAATTAAAATTTGTAGTGGTAATATAATTATCCAATTGCTAATAGTAAAATTAAGTGTTAAATATAAATAGATTGTTGGAGCATTTAAAATTTTTTACTCTGTAAATTTATAAATTCTCTTCAAATTGTAAAATATCCTCTTTGAAAATAGATTTTTTTTTGAAAATATTCTTATATCTCTATCTTGTCTAATGTTTCTTCGTTAGACGTATGTCTCGGTGCACTGAATATGGAATCAAGCTGAAAGTACTTAATCCTAATGTAATTCATAATATGGGCATTAGTGTAGTGTCTAGATACAATGAACGTGCGCAAGCAATGTGAAAAATAATAGTCCATTGACAGCATAAATTACCATGGAAAAATATGATGAGATTTTTGATTCATCAAAATGATGACTTGAATTAGGGTATGTTTGGCTTGAGTATTGGATCGGATTAAATAGTGTAATGAGCAAAATTTTAATCTATTTTTTCATCTGTAATATTATGATGTTATCTAGTATTATCTTATCTTCTCTGTTAGACACATCATAGTGGCACGTTTACTAAGAAGTATTAGATAGCGCTAAGGGGCTTGTGTTTAGTCCAATTTTTTGGATTAATAGATTTTGAAATAGTAAATTTTTGGAGAATATGTGATTCAAAAAAGGAGATAAAATTTTTAAATTTGAGTGTAAAATTATTTTATTAGAAGAATGTACAATTTGAAATGAGAGTTAATAAAAAAATGGAGCTCAAATTGTAGCTAAATAAGAAGTTTTATTAGATAGAATTAAATTTTAAGATTTGTTTGGCACAATTTTTATGAAAATTATTATTATTTTAACTTAATTTCAATCGCACATTCCTCAATAAAGATTATTTTTCGCATGGACTCATAATTTTTTTTCCATATTTTTAACCACATGTTTATCAGAAAATCAATTTTCACTTCTCTTCCCAAACAAACATTGTTTTTTCTTTGCATCGTGCAATCTATTATCTATCTAGTCAAACCTGATATATATTGTGGCATTATAAGAGACACATTATCAGACGAGCCTCATGCAAAGGAGATAAGTAATATTAAGATCCGAAGTTCCATCTTAAAACTTAACATTGTTAAAAGCAGTAATTTAATGCTTGTATGTTATTTATTTATTTTATAATTTTTCTATGTAAGATTTATATCTTAATATGTTTTTGCAAGATGGTGGTTCGCTTCTTAATACTTTTTTTTAGTCTTACCCATTTGATACGAATTAAAATTTGATTTGAATCTAAGTTCAAAGTCAAAAAATCGATATTAACCACATCTTTTATGATCCCAAAACTTTTCAATCACACATTCCAAAAACTTTTATCACAATTTACAAAAAATATAATTTTAATCCCAGCCAAACACCCATGTTTACTTTAACTAAAAAGAATCCAAAAATTTTCAACCCCATATTTTTCATCAACTTTTATTAAAATTTACACAAAAAATAAATAAAAATATTAATTTTTATTTAAACAGGATTAAAATTCAAGGTTTCAACTTAAAAAAGGTTAACCTTATCCAGAGAAATAGCCGAGGCCTTATTTCTCAATTTGGGATTTATCCATTAATCCGAAATATTGATAAATACATAAATTTGACTTGCACGGAAAGAGACGTGAAACATTATCAAATCTTCTAAATAAACGGTTGATTAAACATGAACATAGACAGTATTGCAGTCTGGTTCGAGACGATTCCACTCTCCTTCACCCAATCAGCAATACCCATTTTTCCCAACGTATCTTTGAAAAATCTAACCATTATGTATATAAATAAATCCCACTTTCTCAGAGGCAATTTATCATGCCAAAGCTGCTCGTTCTGAATACTGAACAATGTCTTCTTCAATACCATCCAAAATGAAGGCCTGGATTTACAATGAGTATGGTGGGCCGTTGAAGTTAGTGTCAGATGTTGCCGTGCCAGAAGTGAACGATGATCAGGTATTGATCAAGGTGGTGGCAGCGGCGCTTAACCCTGTTGATTTCAAAAGGCGGCTCGGGAAATTTAAGGCTATCGATTCACCTCCTCCTGTAAATTTTTCCTACCCTAATTTCTTTACGGGTTTTATACATGCATGGATAACGCTTAATTTCTCGTTGGTTCTTAATTTAAGCTAAGCTAGAATCGTATATTCACAATGTAAATGCATTATATATACTGCTTCAAATGTTAAATTGACAATTTTTAGAACCTAACAAGTGTGAATTCCTAATTGTTTTGATTCCCCTTTTTTCCCTGTAGACTGTTCCAGGCTATGATGTTGCTGGTGTGGTAGTTAAAGTTGGCAGCCAAGTAAAAAGTCTCAAAGAAGGAGATGAAGTATATGGAGACATAAACGAAAACTCACTGGAACAACCAAAACGATTCGGCTCATTGGCCGAGTACACGGCCGTTGAAGAAAGATTACTGGCACTGAAGCCCAAGAATCTTGATTTTGTACAGGCTGCTAGTCTCCCTGTGGCAATTGAGACTGCCTATGGAGGTCTTGAAAAGGCAGGATTTTCTGCCGGAAAATCCATACTCGTCTTAGGGGGTGCTGGTGGAGTTGGATCCCTTGTGATCCAGGTAAACCACTGAGCTATGACTTAGTTTATCTGCTTGGAACTTGGATCGTGGACTTGACTAGGTGTTACAATAGGCATGATTTGAACTTCTCGGTATTAATTAGTAACGTCCCGTGCCCCAAGGATTGGCTGAGGGATCAAGTTAATGACATTGAGACATTTAAACCATCTATTTATTTTGGTGATGCAGCTTGCAAAACAAGTGTTTGGTGCTTCCAAGGTAGCTGCTACTTCAAGCACAAGAAAACTGGAATTTCTGAAAAGCTTGGGTGCAGATTTGGCTATTGACTACACCAAGGAGAAATTTGAGCATCTACCAGAAAAATTCGATGTTGTTTATGATGCTGTAGGTAAGAAAATGTCCCAGTTGCTAAATTCGAAGCCATGTAAGAACTATTGAGTCCACACTTCTTTTGTTGGAGATATTATGGGACAAATCCCGAATTGGAAGACTTGTTAACATACCTATAAATTGATAAATTTGGAGCAACTGGAGATTAATAAAATTAACACCTGTCCTATAAATGATTCATGTGTGGTGGTAGTTTAGCATGTTGGGCAGTGTTTTTCTAAAGTATCACGCTTAACTGATGTCCTCAGTTGATTATCATGTTCAAGGTAATTATGCCTGTCTATTCGGGACGGGAACGTCCAGAGAATCTTACTCTTGCTGAACCTAATAAGATAGCAATTCCAATCCAAAAAATTAATAACTACCAGTCGGCCATGGACACAACGAACCTTGCAAAAAAGCAGTCCATAATGTCATATGAACTTTTTTGGGCGATGATGGTTGCATATTATCTAGAAGCTGCTACGGGAATTTTATTCCTTCATTTTTTTAACTTAATTTTCTTGCATATAAGAGTGACATGATCTCAATATTAGAGACTGGATGAGAGAGGTGTAGACGAAAACTGACATAGTTTGGTTTTGTTGCTTAGCATCAAGTTGCATTGGATGTCTAGTAGATATAGAAATTCTAGTATTAATGAACATAGAATGAAGCAAAGATTCATGTAGCTGACCACAAATATATTGGGAAGAAGGATTATTTGTAGTGTTTATTGGGAGTAAGGATTTGCTTGTGACAGGTGCAATATTCTGGAAATTCTTACTCTTTGATCAAATTATTATTGTCGACTTGAAATAAATATTCTTCCTCAATAAACAATACCTTCACTAGAACTGTCTATAATGGTTTAGTAACTAATGTTTCCATCATTTTTCTTCAAAAAATCCGACAGGTCAGGGAGATAGGGCTGTGAAAGCAGTGAAGAAAGGCGGCAGTGTAGTAGTCATAGCTGGGGCAGCAACGCCACCCAGTTTTTACTTTGGGCTAACTTCAAATGGAGAAATATTGAAGAAACTAAATCCATTTCTTGAGAGTGGGAAGGTGAAGCCCGTGCTCGACCCAAAGGCGCCATACCCTTTCGACAAGGTTAATGAAGCTTTTGCTTATCTGGAAACAGAACGAGCCACCGGAAAAGTGGTCATATTTCCGATCAATCCATGATCAGCAACTAAGAATACTAGGCTTATTCTAGCTAAAAATCCATAATAGTATGATGTTAGAGTAGATATATATTCTGAATAATTATAAAATGTGATTGAAATGTTGTAGTTATTGTTGAAGTGCATATTCGCTCATGTAAAATAGAGAATAATAAATATATGTGCCCTTTTGTATTTTTATTACATCTCTTTTTCATTTTTTCTTTAAGAGGAGAAAAGTGTCAACGTTGACGAAAATTGTGAGTGATAACTTTGGGTTACCTGACATTTATATACAATGATCAACAACCACTAGAAACCTCATTAAAAATCTCAATGTGAGAGAATATTGTATTGAGGATCACGTTCATCAGCACCAAAACATGACCTACTCGATGGTTCAGACTGAATTTGTCAACATCAATCTTCTTGAAAAGTTCGACTTTGTATGACAAAATTGCAATATAATTTGATCTGCAATTATAAATCGATATTATTTCGGCAAGTATTTCTCATTACAAATTTTGTTATCTAGTGGAATTGTCTAGCTATATATAGGTCAAGAAACGTATCTCACTTGCTCACTCAAATTTTAAGCCGCATCAAATACCAATAGGGGCCTATTTTAAAAGCTTTTTGTCCTGTTATCACCTTTGTCATGTCATGCATATTTCATTACTTTTCATCAAAATTTACTTAAAATTTTATTTTTACCTAAAACAAATGGGGGCTAGACAATTTTATGTAATATTAAAGTTTGACAAATTTTTAGAGTACAATATTATTTGATATTGGATGGCGTAGACAACCGCCTGCGATAACGAGCAAGGTAAGGCATTATACGCTGACACAAGACTGTCGACCCTCTCATGGGCCCTCTATCTATACGCAAAATTGTCGACCCCCCCATGGGCACTCTACCTCTATGCGAGACCGTCGACCCTCTGGGTTGCTCTACCTCTATGCGAAGCCATCGACTCCCATGGACGCTCTACCTCTACGTGTGGCCATCGACTCCTCAAGAGCATTCTACCTCTACGCTAAACCGTCGACCTACCAGGGGCGCTCTACCTCTACACTAGACCGTCGACCCCCCGGGTGCTCTACCTATACGAGAGACAATCGACCCTCCGGGGTGCTCTACCTCTGCGAGAGACCGTTGACCCCCTAGGGGTGATCTACCTCTACGAGAGATCGTCGACCCCTCGGGGGCTCTACCTCCACGAGAGACCGTCGACCCTTCGGGGGCACTCTATCTCTACGTCGAGACCGTCGACCCGTCGGGGGCACTCTACCTTTATGAGAGACCGTTGAGCCTCCAGGGGCGCTCTACCTCTGCAACAGACTATCGAACCCCCGGGGGTGTTCGACCTGCTGGGTGCTCTACCTTAACGTGAGACCATCGATCGGCATGAAATTACCTATGTGTCATCTTAACACTTAACTATAAAATTTATGATGAATTGACAAAGTTACGTAGTGGTTACCACAGGTACAACTTCGGGACAGGAAGTTAAGGCCCCCCACTCAGAACGTGGGGTAATGGAAAGGCCAACGTGGGGACACGTGGCATCGCAACCACCCAGCTCTCACTCAGCTTCCAACGTCTAAAAATACCCCCGAGGGCAACACAGGTATGGATGATTGCATATTTTCTACCATCTGAATTCCAACTTTATTTTCTCCTAACACGTATATTGATTCTCATGTCGGAAGTAAAACGGGGAAGAAAGCCCCGCCCTCACTTTTCAGGTTACACATGCTCGTCGGAGTAGCAAAAATGTCAAAGGCTGCCAGGCAGACCAGGAGGCATTATTCCACGACCATTTCATTGGCGCCGTCTGTGGGAAACTTCTTCCATTGAACACAAAAGCTATGTCAAAAAGACGAATAAGAAGTGATAGACGATTAAGGGCGGCTGCGACAGAGATGGAGTAAGAGTCAGTCGCATGGGGCCCCGACCAACCGCCGCCACCGCAGTGTGACACAAAGCCGATTCAATGCCCTAGAGACCCAATTGGCGACGATGATGACCCTTTTGCAGAATTAAATGCAGAGAGCCACCCTCTCATCGCCGCACTCGACGGAGGCCATGTCGCCACCCCAGAGGACGTACGTAGAAGCCCCACCTATCATCCAATCGGTGACAGTGGGCTCGGGGTCTCCAGGGATGACGGTCGTGCAGCCCTCATCACCTATGTCAGTTTTAGAGCGAAGGATGGAGGAGATCATGACGCAGAAGATAGATGATGCATTATCCAGGAAAAAGGACAAACTTATGTAGATGGTTTTTAAAAGAAGACCCGTACACTCCTGAAATTATGGTGGTCCATATACTTAAGGGCTTCAAGTATGATAGAAGCTTACGACGGGGTCACGGATCCACTTGACCATCTCTGGACCTTCGTTGATTTAATGAGGCTCTATGCAGTACCTGATGCAGTAATGTGTCGATCTTTCTCCTCAACCCTCAGGAAGGAAGCTAGAGACTGGGTGGCGTGGTGACATTAGCCCCCAGTTTATCTAAACGTTTGATGAACTCTCCAGGAGATTTATGGCCTATTTCCTTGTAGTAAGAGGAAGAGGAAGACAGCCATTGGTTTGATGCAGGTCATCCTGGAGAAGGACGAGTCTTTGCAAGAACACTTGGCCAGATTCAGTCGAATCATCCTCTACAGGGTTTTGGAGGGGCCACGGTAATTTCAAAAGGGACTGTAGAGCTTCTAGTCACGCTAGGCACATATCTAACCACTGTGGTAATTGTGGCAAGCTTCTTAGATGTCAAAACCCCCATGGCCTATAATACAATTTACGGTGGACCACTGCTGAATGCGGCTGGGGCCATCCCCTCAACCTATCACCTTGTTATGAAATTCCTAACCAGCGAGGGGTCGAGTGCGTGCGAGGGAATCAACAAGCACTCAGGAGATGTTATGTTGACAGTATATCAACCAGAGGAGCACTACCAGTCATGATGTTAGACATAGAGCCTCCAAGAGGACGGATCGAACCACTTGACATGATAAAAAAGATCTCTATATCAAAAGGACGAAGTTCAGCATCGGGATCGGGTTGGAATTTGACGAAAGGAGAAGTTGGTGAAATGCCTGGTAGATAACCTAAACGTTTTCGCATGGAGCTCAGGCGACATTACTGGGATCAGCCCAACAATCGTACAACATCGCCTCGACGTCCTACCAGGAGCCAAACCAATGAAGCAGAAAAAAGGAACCTTGCCCCCAAAAGGCAAGAAATAGTTAAAGTAGAGGTGGAAAAACTACTACAAGCTAGTTTCATTTGGGAGGTGCAGTACCCCGAATGGCTAGCCAACATCGTGCTAGTTAGTGGCGCATGTGTGCGTGGATTGCACCAGGCTAAATAAGGCATGCCCAAAGGACTCATACCCGCTCCCTCGAATAGACCACCTGGTCGACACCACATCAAATCATGAAAGGCTCAGCTTCCTGGATGCGTTCTCTGAATATCATCAAAACTCTATGGCCGACGCATTGACAAGGCTCGCATCGACAAGTTCAAGAAATCTACCATGGGTCAATGAACGTTCAAGTCCTACGACAACCCAACCTTCAAGGCTGGTCCGAGGTAAAGAACATTAAGTATGAAGAAAACTGGATGGATCCACTGATCAAATATCTCATGGATGATGAGGTGCCAGAAAACACCTTCGAAGCAAAGAGGTTGAGGGTTTGAGCAGCCTCGTTTACCATTATTGATGGACAGCTCTATAAACAGGGCTTTACATTGCCATATCTGAATTGCTTACTTCACGGAATTATGTGGTCGACATAGCCTACGCAGCTAGGTGGAGAGCCTTAGAAGCCAAAAAATTGGTTAAGGCCCTTAACCGCTAGACCCCTCTCTCGACGGTCTACATAACCCCAGCGGTTAGGCGGAGAGCCTCAGAAACCAAAAAATTGGCTAAGACCCTTAACCGCTAGATCCTTCTTTCGACGGTCAACATAGTCCACACAGCTGGGCGGAGAGCTTTAGAAGTCAAAAAATTAGCTAAGGCCCTTAACCGCTAGACCCCTCCCTCGATGATTAACATAGTCCATGCGACTAGGTGGAGAGCCTTAGAAACAAAAAATTTGACTAAGACCCTTAATCGCTAAACCCTTTTCCCAACGGTCAATATAGCCCACGCAACTACGCGGAAGAGTCTTAGAAGCCAAAAAATTGACTAAGGCCCTTAACCGCTAGACCCCTCTCTCGACGGTCGACATAGCCCACGCGGCTAAGCGGAGAGCCTTAGAATTCAAAAAATTGGCTAAAATCCTTAATCGTCAGACACCATGCTTGAAGGTTGACACAACGCAAGCAAGAAGACAGAAAGCCTTCGACGACAAAAAAATAATAAAATAAAATAAAATATTTTGAGAAAAGGAAGATACTACCCCTTGCAGAAAAACATCGACAAAAGGTAGAGGCTAGTGATATTGGATTGCATAGACAATCGCCTACGATAACGAGCAAGGTAAGGCATTACACGCTGACACAGGACCTTCAACCCCCCCCATGCGTGCTCTACATCTACGCGAGGGCTATCGACCCCCTATGGGAGCTCTACCTCTACGCGAGACCATCGACCCCCGCGAGTGCTCTACCTCTATACAAAGTCATCGACCCCCATGGGCGCTCTACTTTTACGCGTGGCCATCGACTCCTTAAGGGCATTCTACCTCTACGCTAAATTGTCGACCCACGGGGAGTACTCTACCTCTACACGAGACCGTCGACCCCCCTGAGTGCTCTACCAATACAAAAAACCATTGACACCCGGGGGTGTTCTACCTCTACGAGAAACCGTCGACCCCCGGGTAGTGATGGCAACTGGGCGAGGCGGGACGGGAACGCCCCCCCCCCCGCCTCGCCTTAAATGGGGCGGGTTTGGGGCAGTTTTTTGCCTCGTTTACTGCCCCATTTTATTTTTTTTACACATTTTCAAAATTTAGAGTTATACTATTAAATTATAAAATACAAATTCAAAATTTAAAATTTCAAAACAAATAATACTTAAATTAACATCAATATTCAAAGAAACACTCAAAAAAATAATATCCAAATTTTTTTTTAATATTCACGGGGCGGGTCCCCATCAACCCGTCGAGCGAGTTTTTTTGCCCCATTCGGGACGGGGCCCCGTCGGGGAAGGGCAAATTGCCATCTCTACCCTCGAGTGCTCT